CAGACGATTGTTCTTGATTTGCTGCACATGCTCTTTCTCCTGTGGCAACAACATCAGCAAACAATGCATCGTAAAACCATGTGAGCGAAAGATCTTTGTTCCTAAATTTCTTATATTTTGCATTTTCCTGTAAAAAGAGAAAATAAAAACTACTTTAATCAAACTGATAGAATTAACAATGACAAAAATAAGAATTACACATATAATAATGTGAGAAATGTACCTTAATTTTTCGCTCCCACCAATCATCATCTGCCATAATCATATTTTTCGTGGCATCCCATCCTAAACATGTCTCCCCTCTCATCAATTGCTTAAAAAGTGTCCATTTACCTTTCATGTAATCCCAATAATGTTTTATTTTTTTTATCATAGTCTTTCCCCGTCTTCTTACAGAACTCGTCAACAATACTTTTCCAACCATCTTTATTTAATTAAGTGTTTGGTCTATTTTCTTTTCTAACCTCTTGCTCACACAACTCAAGAAATATAATATGTGTATCATCGTCCCACTTAGTATTGTCTGGCATGATTGAACGTAAATAATCTGAAGAAAGCAGAACAACCAAGAAGCTAAGACTGAAGTTGCATAAAGCCTGAAAGAGCCTTGTGTTTGACAGAAAGAATGCCTTTAGGCGTTTGCTTTGAGGCTCCGTAAAGGAATTATTCGCAGCTCTCAAGCAAGAATGTGATACTTGTCAAGTTTCTTTTAAATACAACTACATATTTATGTAGGTGTAAGTTAAATAGTACTACTTTGAACTAGCTTATTCCAGTACAAAAAAAATTATATTGTTAATGCCATTGAATTAATAGTGTCTTCATCCATTCCATTGCAACAAAAAACTATATTGTTAATGCCTAGAGAGAAGCAAATTCTGCCTCTTGCGCTAATCTACTTAGGGAGTCAAGCAAAAGTATCCAAATAGAAGCGTTTCATGCTATTTGCCGCAAATCACAATAAGCCTCCAGATATTGTTAGCATCCTTATTGCTAACGGAAGCAAACTACTTTGCCTCTTTGCTGATTTTAAGACTGACAAAGAGGAAGAGCAGTTTGAGGCCGACAAAGCGCAAGTTGTTAAAGAAATCGCAGCCCTTGGACACAAGGAATGTTGTTGAACTCGGCACTAGTTATTTTTCTGAGTTGTTGAGTTTGTGTTGTATCTTTAATACCAAAAACAAAATTGCTTTGTTTTCCTAGGTTTTACACACGTCATTCAAACAAGCTAAGGATTTAACTCTGTCTTTTCTATTACTGTAGTAGGACAATTGTTGAGGGCTATACAAATATCAACATAATTACATTAGTAGTTGTAGTAGTAATCAGTAGATTTTCTCCATTAATTTTGAATAAGTAAAAACTGAAAAGTGACTCAAGTAATATGAGCCTCTGTTATACTGTACCAAAGGAAATAAAAAGAAGTTTACAAACATAGAAATCGTATGATTAAATTTACTAGGAATTGAAATTCAACAGGAAGATAACTTACTGGACTGAAGAGGCTTTCAAATTGGAGCTGAAGCTGGGAAGAGTTATGGAAGAAGAGGAAGAAGAAAGCAGAGGCGCTGTTAATAACAGAGAAAAGAAAGAGACCGTATGTTTTTAGGTTTTCTAGTGAGGGGTAATTTCGGGAATAAGAAATATGATAAGGGATAAGAAAGTAATATCCTTGGTCAAACCAATATGGATTTTAAGCCAATTTAAAAAAAGTTGGGTTTACCCAACTTGTTAGTTTTGGCTTTTTAAGCAAATTTTAACTTTTTTATGCCTTTTTTTTAGTTGCCAAACACTTCCAGAAGTTAAAAGTGCTTAAAAGCTTGTTTGACCAGCTTTTAAGCCCATCCAAACAGGCTCTATATCTTCTGTTCATGGGTCTTAGAAAAATACGTATTTAATAAAGTTTATCCGAAAGGAATATTAATTTTTATGGCATTCCGAGAAAATATTATTAACATATTTCTTATACATTTCATGCATTTGTACATGTACATTGACCCATGAACAAATGGCATTATATACGCGTATATATGTATATTATATTTATATGGGATATGGGAAAAGGTTACGGCGTTATATACGCACCACCACCTGATCAACTGGTATATGTTGATGATTTTGCCCACGGTGGCCGAGATGATATGATGGGATGCCCTCAGAGGCTTGATGATGTTATGAATACATATACATATGCACAACATGACATTCATACGCATATGCATGACACTATAAGTATTTTATGATTTACAGAGTTATTTAGACTTACATGTTAAGTTATTTACTCTATATTTCTTCCATGTCTTTTATGTACTTATTTATATGCCTTACATACTCGGTACACTATTCGTACTGACGTCCATTTTGCTTGGAGATGCTGTGTTTCATGCCTGCAGGTTCCGATAGACAGGTCGAGAGTCCTCCAAGTAGGCTATCAGCTCAGCGGAAGATGGTGGTGCACTCCATTTGCTCCGAAGTTACTTGTTTGGTCAGTATGATTTAGACACGTATTGTTTGGTATGGCGAGGCCCTATCTCGACCTTTATGTTAAGTATGTACTCTTAGAGGCTTGTAGACAGATGTCGTATACGAATGCTTATATGGCTTTGCCGGCCTATGTTTTGAGTTTACAAATGATCATGTTGTCCTTATAGGCCCGTATATCACATGTATAAGTTTTTATACCAGGTTGAGTCGCCCTACATTGAGTACTCCCCTATGTTTATTCTAGTTAGCCCATGACGGCCCGTTTGGTCCATTTGCCAATGAAAGTACAATAAGAAAGATATATTATGTTCGTACTCGGTTAAGTAAGGTACCGGGTGCTCGTTGCGGCCCATAGGTTTGGGTCGTGATATTAAGGACATGTATGATGGGGCTAACACTCGAGTTAGGACAGTAGGAGGCGACTCTAAGCATTTTCTGGTTGTAATGGGTTTACACCAAGGTTCTGCGCTCAGTCCGTTTTTATTCCCCCTGGTAATGGACGCGTTAACACACTATATTCAAGGGGAAGTGCTATGGTGCATGTTATTCGCCGATGATATAGTTCTGATTGATGAGTTGCGAGCCGGTGTTAACGAGAGGCTGGAGGTTTGTAGACAGGCTCTTGAGTCTAAGGGTTTCAAGCTGAGCAGGACGAAGATGGAATACCTAGAGTGTAAGTTCAGCGCTGAGCCGGGGAGGGGAGGGAGGGGGCGTGGATGTGAGGCCTGAAGCATAGGTCATCCCAAGTAGAGACAACTTCAAGTACCTTGGTTCGGTTATCCTTGGAGGGAAGGGAAATCGACGAGGATATCACACACCATATCGGGGTAGGATGGATGAAGTGGAGGTTATCATCTGGAGTCTTGTGTTACAAGAGAGTTCCACTGATACTCAAAGGTAAGTTCTATAAAGCGGTGGTTAGACCGACCATGATGTATGGGGCTGAGTGTTGGCCTGCTAAGAACTCACATATCCAGAAGATAAAAGTAGCAGAAATAAGGATGTTGAGGTGAATGTACGGGCACCCTAAGATGGATAAGATTAGAAATGATGATATTCGGGAGAAGGTGCACGTGGCTCCCATTGATGACAAGATGCGGGAAGCGAGACTCAGATAGTTCGGGCATGTTCAGAGGATAAAACCAAATGTGTTGGTACGGAGGTGTGGGCGGCTGGTTGTGGAGCGCACGAGAAGAGGTAGAGGGCCCTAAGAAGTATTGGGGAGAGGTGATCATACATGATATGTCAAGGCTTCAGATTTTCAAGGACATGACACTTGATAGGAAGATGTGGAGGTTGAATATTAGGGTTGTTGGTTAGGAGATAGTTGAGTCTTGCCTTACTTCGTACCATTGTGGGACTAGTTTGGTAGGGTTTTTGTCTAAGATAGCTAGTGGCAATGTTGTGTCTTACTATTTCGCTTTCCAGTGCATGACCTATTTACTATCTATCGATTTTGCTTTGCATCTTTCTTCTGGATTTCATATTGTTCCTATTTTTCCTATGATTTTTATGGTGATACTAATATTGTCTCCTTTTATCCTTTTATCCTTTTATTTTCTTGAACCGAAGGTCTTTCAGAGACAACCTCTCTACTCATTCGGGGTAGGGGTAAGGTCTGCGTATACACTACCTTCCCTAGGCCTCATTAGTGGAATTTTACTAGGTTGTTGTTGTTCTTATTGTTGTTGCTGCTTTCATAGTTGCTTGAGTGACAACCACCTTGCATCATTCACATATCATCTAGGATTGGATAAATGAGTTCTCTATTCTTAACTAATGATCTCGGAACTAAACTAGAAAAAGAAAGAAATTTCTTGCAAAGTAGCTTTCTCTCCTAAACTAACATTAGGCGAGCACGAATTCGAATTTAGTGGTTAATAAACGTCGAATATTGGATGATTAAGTAGGCGCTTGGACATGGATTCCAAAATTTCTTTACAAATTTGAAATTTTACTAAAATTTGAATTGAATATGAAGTTGTGTTTGGTTATAATTTTTGCAACATATCTGGATATCTGTTTTTAATATATTTTGCAACTAAAAACTAGCAATCTTCTCATTTTCAAGTGAGATTGGAAAAATTGTAAGATTTGGATAACCAAACACTATTTTTAAAAAAAAATTGAAAAAAGGAGAATTTTCTTATGTCCAAACGGGCTCTTAACAACAACAACAACAACAAACCCAGTTTGATCCCAACATATGGAGTCTGGGGAGGGTAGTCTGTACGCAGACCTTACCCTTACCTAATGCAGCTAGAGAGTCTGTTTCCAAACGGGCTCTTAAAATAACAAAAAAGAGAAGAAAAAAAAAAGAAGAAAAATTAGGTCACGTGACAGTAGAGGCCTTGCCAGATAAGTCACGTGTCCATACCCCACGTATCAAACAGCACCAATCTTCTATTCCATGGAAACTTCCATCACGCGTGTTGTCGGCACGTGAATTATCCTCCAAATTATGCCCCGTAACCACGCAAAGCACTTTATTACTACTACTCAAAAAGCAAAAAAATTTAAAAAGGAAAAAAAAGCATCTATTCAAATTCTTTCTTCTTTTTTATTTTAATTTTCTTTTTAATCTTTCTTTCTCTGTTACCTGCTTCAACCTAACCCTACCTTTGTAGATAGAGAAGAAAAAAAATCACATTTTCATTTTTGAACTCCTTCGGATCCCTGTGCAGAACACAGTTGAAATCTTTTTGTTTTTTCCTTTTTTTTTTGGGCATTTGAAGCTTTCTTTAGGAATCCAAGGTTGACCTAGTTAATTTTTTTTTTTTCAATTTTTGAATGGAGCCTCGTGTGGGTAACAAGTATCGACTTGGTCGCAAAATTGGCAGTGGATCGTTCGGTGAGATCTATCTTGGTGAGTTTTTTTTTCCCCGGAGAAATTGTCAATTTATTTGTGTTGTTGTGGCTTTGAGATTTTTTTTTGTTGGTTGTGTAGGTACTAATATTCAGACTAATGAGGAGTTGGCAATTAAGCTGGTGAGTGGGCTTATTCATTCATTTATTTATTTATTTGTACCAGTAATTTACTATACTTGTGCTTACATTACTCTTATTGCAGTTGATTTTATTTTTGGGGGTTATTGTATTTTAAATTACTCTTTCTTTTGGAATGTGTTGTTTCTGGAAACTTAGATATCAATTGAGGCAATTGATGTTGACATAGTAGGGTAATGTAGTTAAAGTACTTCCATTTTTTATTTGGATGACGGTGGTGTGCAGTGTTGTGAAGAGCGTGAAGTTGAGGAAAAGCGAAAACCCCCATTTCACTTAAAGTGCGCTCGCTTTTTTGAAGTGAAACGGAATTTAAAAAAAAATGTTAGTAAAATAAATTCTATTAAAAGGAAGGGTAGCATACCATTCTGTTAAAAACTGGGCAGCATAAAAACAGTGAAAGAAGAACTGGGCAGCATTTCAACGAAGAGGAGAAGAATAAGAAAGAAGAACCGAAGGGGAAAAAAATAATTCGCCAGCATTTCGATGCTATTTGGACGCTGATGTTGAATATGACAATGTCCCACATCGGTTGGGAAGTAAATTTGGTGGGAATTTTTACCTATAAAAGGAGGCCTAATGTTTAGAATTTAAACACACCTCTCATTTGCCTTCTCATCTTCTTAAGGCATTTGTATCTTCTCTCTGTAGTATTATTTCACTTGTATTTTTGGAGTGGAATAAAATATTGGTTGTGTCCGAGGAAGTAGGCAAAATTGGCCGAACCTCGTAAATTCTGGTGTTCCTTTTATTGTTGTTTTATTGTCTTATTTATTATTTAGTGGCTGCCATATTTTTTGGTATAGTAGTTGTGACTCATTCACACTATATACATTTGGCTTCCGTAACAATTGGTATCAAAGTCAAGGTACTGTCTAAGTATGCTTTGTGGATTGCAGCATAGTCTGATCTTCCACATCAGAAAAGATTTATCTTGGTAACTGAGTCAAGGTTCTGTCTGAGTATGCTCTGTGGTTGCAGCTTAGTCTGATCTTCTACATCAGAAAGGAAATAATCTTGATTTGTGTCGTCAGCTATTAAATAATATTTGTGTCAAAGATGGGAGACAATAAACAAGAAGAATCTACATCAAGTGTCAACAATATGTCATCATTGGCATCTTCGCTTATGACAAGAATTGTGTCAAATGCGAAATTTGCGGTAGAAATATTTGACGGGTCCGGACATTTTGGGATGTGGCAAGGCGAGGTTCTAGATGTCCTTTTTCAACAAGGGTTAATCTTGCCATTGAAGAAAAGAAACTAGATGTTATTGGAGAAGAAGATTGGAAAATTATCAATTGTGTTGCTTGCGGTACCATTCGATCCTATCTTGCTAGAGAGCGGAAATATCCATACACAAAGGAAACTTCTGCAAGTAAATTATGGAAAGCACTGAAGGATAAATTTTTGAAGAAAAACAGTCAAAATAAATTGTACATGAAGAAGAGACTGTTTCACTTCACCTATGTTCCTGGTACCACGATGAATGAACATATCACCAGTTTCAATAAGTTGGTCACAGATTTGCAAAATATGGATATAACTTTTGATGATGGTGACTTGGCCTTGAGGTTGTTGGCGTCACTTCCTGATGAGTATGAGCACCTTGAAACTACTCTACTCCATGGAAATGACGAAGTTTCTCTCAGAGAAGTTTGTTCGGCTTTGTACAGCTATGAACAAAGAAAGCGAGAAAAACAGAAGGGCGGAGAAGGAGAAGCACTATTTGTGAGGGGTCGTCCTCAAAATCAAACGAGGACAAAGAAGGGAAGATCCAAGTCAAGATCCAGACCCAGCAAAGATGAATGTGCCTTTTGTCGAGAAAAAGGGCACTGGAAGAAAGACTGTCCGAAGTTGAAGAATAAGGCCAAACATAACAATGGAAAGGCCATTATGGATTCAAATGTAGCTGATTGTGATGATTCAGACTTCTCATTAGTTACAACAGAGTCATCAACATCATCAGACATATGGTTGATGGACTCGGCTTGTAGCTATCATATGTGTCCCAACAGGGACTGGTTCGTAGATTTTGAAGAAGGGGAATACGGAGTCATCCACACAGCGGATAACAGCCCTCTTACCTCATATGGCATTGGTTCAATACAATTAAGGAACCATGATGGAATGATCAGAACATTAACAAATGTTCGATATGTACCGGATTTGAAGAAGAATCTCATCTCTGTGGGAGCCCTAGAATCAAAAGGGTTCAAAATCATTGCAGAAAATGGAGTGATGAGAGTATGCTCTGGTGCACTAGTGGTAATGAAGGCTAATCGGAAGAACAATAACATGTACCGTTATCGTGGTAATACAGTTATTGGGACAACGACAGTGACGTCCAGTGACGACAAAGAGGCAGAACCAACCAGGCTATGGCACATGCGCTTGGGACATGCTGGAGGAAAATCCTTGATAACTCTATCAGATCAAGGATTATTAAAGGGAGTAAAGACTTGCAACTTGAAATTTTGCGAGCATTGTGTCAAAGGAAAACAGACAACGGTTAAATTTGGTACAACGATCCATAATACTAAAGGTATTTTGGATTATGTACACTCTGATGTTTGGGGTCCTTCCAAAACACCTTCATTGGGTGGGAAGCACTATTTTGTAACCTTTGTTGATGATTTTTC